TGTTGTCAGTCCAGGAGAGGTCCTCTGTGATGTGCACACCCAGGAACTTGGTGCTGCTCACCCTCTCCACAGTCACACCATTGACGGTCAGAGGAGCATGCTGAGTGCGCACTCTCCTGAAGTCAACACCAATCTCCTTCGTCTAGGAGGAGACCACTGACATAGCATGTCTCGAGACACATATTTTAAAAGGTCGACATCTTTTATCCTGTCATGGCAGAAAATGCGAGACACGAGCGCAGTGGTCAAAGATGTCTGTTTAGGGCATGTTTGCGTAAAACAATAGAAAAATTCAAAAATACATTAATAATTAAATTCATATAAGCAGTGATTTGAATACAAATTGAATACACTTGTTGATCATGTTTTTTTTATTTTATTTAAAATTTATTTTGATATGACTTTTAAAAAAATGTCCAAGTGTCTTGATATCATAATAAAGAAAAAAGACTGATTAAAAGATTTTTCATTTCATTTTCTTTGTTGTGAACACTTTTATGTGTCATTAACCCATCTACATGAAAAACTACTATAAGGTCACTTCCCCTAAAACAGATCAATATCAGTTTGCTTTAAGCATTACTGTTTTAATGGAAAGTTGGAGGTTACGGCCTATAAACACATACCGAAAGCAAATATCAAATTCACCATTAATTTGGGTTTTGGCTGTCTACCAATCACTCTGATGAATTTTGTGCTACTTTTCTATGGTTATGTATGATAAAAGATCAAATGTAGGGCCTATATCTTGGAAAAAGCTAAAGCTTATTCTATCCATTGTGTAACATTTGACTGGATTCCATCTAGTCATCAAAACAGCTTTTAAAAAACAGCTTGTTCTTCTTTCTCTCTTTTCTCAGAAAGTGCAATGCAGCACCTAAAGCATTGCCAAGGTCTTGCTCAGGTCTTCCTTATCAGGAGTCAAAGGTGATCATAAAAACCTTTGTTCCTTATTTAAGCATTTCCAAATAATACATATGAAAGTTCATCTTTTACTTAGAATGATTCCCCAACATGCAGAGGCGTACCTACATGAAGTGGGGGCCCCAGGCAAAATTAATCAGTGAGGCCCTTCTAAAAGATTTTTTTTTGTTAATGTATCTTTGTTACCTAGTGATATAATTATACAACATATGAAATGTGGACAAAACACATCTAACAGTATATAATGCACAAAACAGAACACGCGCTCTCTCTTACTCGGATGTGCACGCTCAAACCTGTGCACTCAAATCTATAGAATTGCCTTCTCTCCTGGATTTAATGTTGCCAGAAGCCCATCAACCACCAGACTTCCATGACTGACTGATGAAATAACAGAGTACCTTTCAATTGTAAAAAAAAAAATTACGGACCTTTGTTAGCATTTCCAGGCTGATTTTTTTATTTTTTTTATTTTATTACTTAGCCTAATAGCTATTTGAATTAAGTGCCTATTCTGAATAGGTATTTATTTAATTATTTTATGTATATCAGCAAGTGAACGAGTTGCGGCGAAGCTCATGAAAATATTTTTTTTGTTTAGTAGTGTAGGCTATTTGCAGTCTTCGCGAGACACGAATATCTTGTGTGTAGCCTAATGAACTCAAGCACAATATCGATTATTATTTTTTAAAATAATTTTTTATTAATTAGGCTGTAAAAAATGGGAATGTTAAAATATTTAAGGCACAGTTGTTGCATGACAACCTAGCCTGCT